TGACTTTATTATTCGCTTCTGCATTTAGATAATAAACCATTTTCATTTAATTTCGAATTTTTACACTAATTAAGTCATATGCTCTATAAATAAAATATTATAAACTAATTATTATTAATTAACATGCTAATACAGTGATAAATTTTGGATTATCACAACACAAAAATATCAATGATCTAACCTTTTTCTTTTAGTACAACATATCATGCATGATGAAATTATTCTCTGTAAACTTTTAAAAAATATAAGCTTGAAAAATTTTAAAAAAATTACTTTAAAATTATATTAACAAAAACTAGAAAAGTGAAAAGAAAGTATTGTCCTTTTAATCCAATATCAGCAAAAGATGTTCATCTTCCAAAGTTCGATGTCTGAAGCCAAACGATCATTGCTGTAACGGTCCCGGAAATTTAAAATGAAATGTATATTAAAAATATCAAATGCGGAAGCGAAGTCAAAATTTGAATAACATCCTTTACACTAAAACCAAAAACGTGCTCACAAAATATAAAAGATCAAACTACCTAAAGGAGAAACTTGAAAGTAAAAGCTACGAATATGACTATGGAGTCTTTAGGCGTCCCCTTCGTCGTCCTCCTGCGGAACCAGCTCGGGAACGATGTCCTCTTGATCTGAAATGATTAAATAAGGAATGAGCTACACTACCCCAGTAAAGACATCACGATATCTCACCGTCACGGAGGTAAAGGTGGGTAGAAAACACAAAAAGACCAATGGAGCATAATTTACAACAAATCTTTTTATTAATAATAAAACCTTTACCATTTACTTACCTAGATATAATCCATAAAACAGTGTACGAAAGCAATAACATCATCATCATCATGAAATCATATATAAATTGTATAGCATAATACTTATCAAGCCTTTCGTAATTCAATCGTTACACAACATATTTTCCTCATTTACCAGCCCACTAGTATCCATGGGGATCCATAGGGGTCCCGCTACCCGTTAACCCTTAACACTTGAAATCATTTTTTCCAAGGCCGTCCCCATACCCCATCCGGTATGGGCGCCAAAACTATAGACCTCATTACCCCGTCCGGTATGAGGGTGAAACGGGTCGTCCCCATACTCCGTCCGGTATGGGCGCCAAAACACATAAGATCTCCATACCCCGTCCGGTATGGGAGACCACAATCCCGGTAGGGTTCCCTACGGACCCGGTCCGTCCACCATCTCCCAGGATATCTAGTCATGCTGACCACATTATACAATTACCCATTTACATAATCTATCATTCTCTTTTCCCTCAGTCAGCATCATCAATCCACATACAAACAAGCAAAACAGTAATTTATGCCAAACAGACAACATACAGCATCAATATTCCAGTCATTCAATCCATAATCAATAAAACAGTACAATATGCACACGAAACTATAAAATGAAAACATCAAACCTCATACTGCATTTAAAACTGTAAAACAGGCCAAATAACAGTTAACCGACAAACACACTAGACTCGGGCTCCATTAGCGACCTTAAGCAATTTCACACATTCGTTTATTCATGAAATACCGTTTTATCATTTATTGAACTTTAATACCGTGATAGGAAATAAGGTGAGGGGTCCTTACACGTTTCGGGGTCCGAACACGGCTTCACAGTGCGCCTACAGGCTGTCCCTAATTTTTCCTGAATTTTTCCCGGGGAACTGAAACGCACTACTGGTACCTGCATATATTCCAAAAAATCCCAAATTAGGCCCAGGGCCCATTTCGGCCAATATCGCATTGCTCTCCAAAGATAGTATCAATCTATTTTTCCCACTTATAGGACATTCTGTTTGGATAAATTTTAGTGATGTTTAATTAATATATGGCAATGACAGTGATAGAATGATAATGACACAGGATGACAAAAAAATTTATGTTTGAATGATTATTAATTTATCTCTACTTATTATATATAATAGTAAATGGTATATAAAAAGTATGTAATAAAAATAAATAAATTATTTACCAATATAATTATATTTATATTTAAATAAATAATTATTACACATAATTAAATTAAATTTTTATATTTAATAAAATAAATAATAATTTATGATAATAAAAATAGAATTAAATATATTATATGAGAGTATGAAAAGAAAAAAAGTAATTTGTCAGTCAAATACCACTAATTTGATGATTTTAAAATTCATTCCAAATTTGTTAGTCAGATACCGTTTATTACCACTAAAAATTAAAATAAATATAATTTTTTCACAACCGTAGAATACTATACATTAAAATTTTATCATTTACCATTATTCAAATAAGATTTTAATCATACGAATTATTAACATAGTTTATGTTCACCAGGTTCCCCGTTAATGTCCTCTTTAACCTCCCTGGCCTTGTTCACCATAATCGATTGTCTTCATCATGCTCATTCACCGGAATTTCCCTCTCTCTTCCCGATCTTCTGCTCCTAAGACTTTCCGTCTTGGTGCATGTAACACCCAATTATTTTTATTTTAATTATTTCTATATAAATATAAATATGTATTAATTAAATTTAATTTATTTTATTTTATTTTAATTTGATTAAATGAAAATAATAGTAATAATAATAATAAAAATGGTAAAAAAAATAACTGAGGATTTAATTGAAAATAATTTTGGAAAAAATATGTGAAATTTTGGATTCTAATGGTTTTTTGAAAGAAGAATCGAAAAAACGGGGATCAAATCGCAATTTAGAAAAGTTACGCCACGTCAACTGCCTGATCAGCAGCCCCGACCAACCAGGATGCGTCAGGTGACAGAGATGCTGACGTAGGAGGCCACGTGGGCGATCCACGTGCGCGCGATCAAACGGCTGATATCCATTCCCGCCCGCACAGACGACCCAGATCAAAAACGCGCACGGACAGCCCAGATTCACTCCCTATTTAATTACAATCGCATAATTCAGATTAAAAGCGATGGACGGTTCAGATCAAAAGTAGATGGGTATAAATAACCTCATCCGCACCCAAACCCTAACCCTAGCCACTAGAGCCCCTCCCTGGAGAAGACAGCCCAATCGTCGAGGAGCGGACCGCCGCCACCCGCCGCCACATCGGAGCAATTTTCGACCGCCAAATGAGGTAAAAAATTCTATCATTTGCTCAGAATTTGATTTCAAACCCACCCATGGCCAAATCGAAGTGAAAGAATCGGTTAATTGGCCAGAAAACGCCGCTGAAGCTCAGCGGCACCGCCGCGGGGTGTTTCAGTTTTTGCCTCCAATGAGGCCTTTCCCGATTCCCATTCGATGTGATTTTTCTACTGTTATGATCACCGTTTCCTCCTCTACAGGTTGACCATAGCAAAATGCCCAACTGCAATGTGAGCCGGAGGAGCCGCCGCACCGGAGAGCCCCACCGCCGGTGAGTTTTACTTTTCTGTATTTTTTTGGCCCACCGAGGGCCCTAAGTGTGTTTTCTGGCAAGAATCGTTGCAAGTTCGGCTGAAAACAGCCAATCCGAGGCGGATCGTCGCCGCGAGCGCCGACGCCGTCACCGGAGCACGGCGGAGCCGCTTTGCCGGAATTCTGAAATTGGCCGAGTGGGCCCTGAGTCTAATTTTTAGATTTATTTGGGACACTTGTAGGTACCGTAAGCGCTTTTCAGTTCCCAAAGAAAAATTCAGAGAACCTAGGGACCGCCCGTATGCGCAGTAACCATCTAGTTTTCGGCGTTGAATCAAGTAAGGACCCTTCACCCTAATTCCTATCATAAATGTAAAGTTTGAATAAATAATAATACGGTCTTTTATACAGGTTAGATAAATGCAATTATGGATTGCTAATGGAGCCCGAAATCAGACATTGTTCTCTGTTGATTCCTGTTGATTTCTTTTACAGTTTAAAGGCATGACGGTATCTGGTTTCAGAGTCTTAAATACATGTATTACTGTATTACTTGACTACTGTGTGATTTTGGAATTTAAGATATAATTGTATTACCGGGTACATATTCATTGTTTATGTGATTGTGTTTAATTTGATAACGGAGATTAAGGATAAATAGGAAAGGGATGTGATCTAATAAATGGATAAGATGACAGCCTCACTAGATATCGTGAGAGATGGTGGACGGACCGAGTTCATATGGAACCCTATCGTGAACGTTGTCTCATACCGGACGGGGTATGGAAACTTGGTCATTTGGTGCTCATACCAGACGGGGTATGGGGACGATCTTAGAATTAAGATTGTTAATGGAAATGGTTCATGTGTAGCGGGGACACCCCTATGGATCTCTATAAATACTAGTAGGCTGATAAAAAATGGACAATTGTTGTTTGATGACTTGAAAATAATATAATGATATGTGCTATATTGTAGATTATATATGAAATCATGATATTAATAATATTATTGTTTTCATATGTTATTTTTATAAATCTCACTGTGATAAGTGAACGGTAAATAGTTTTATTATTAATAAATGAATTTGTTTAAAATTTGTGCTCTATTGGTTGTTTTTTGTTTTTCTACCAATCTTTGCTTCTAGGACGACG